GCCTCCTGAGTAGCTGGGATTATAGGCATGCACCACCATGCCCAGCTAATTTTTTGTATTTTTAGTAGAGACGGGGTTTCACCATGTTGACCAGGATGGTCTCGATCTCTTGACCTTGTGCTCCACCCGCCTCGGCCTCCCAAAGTGCTGGGATTACAGGCTTGAGCCACCGCGCCCGGCCTAATGTATACATCTTAATTTCTCATTTTACAAGGTTTTACTAGGTAGTGTCTTTCACTGTGCCCAGTCTTAGGGGGTTTGTAGTCAGCTAGTCTTGGTGCCTGTCATCAAGAAATTCAATAGTAGTCTGATAGAAGAGACAGACTGGTAGACAAGCCATTAGGATAAAGAGTGTGATAAGTGCTCACAATGAGTGCCAGAGATGTATATTCCCTGTGTTTCACGCAGAAGTGAGCATTTGATTAAAATAGCATTTCAGTCTCTGGGGAAAAGATAGATTTCTCAATAAATGGTATTGAAACAATTGATTCGCTGGGCATGGTGGCTTACGTCTGTAATCCACGCACTTTGGAGGCCAAGGCGGGCGGATCACCTGAGGTCGGGAGGGAGTTTAAGACCAGCCTGACCAACATGGTGAAACCCTGTCTTTAAAAACAAAACAAAACAAAAAGTTAAGAAGAAACAATTGATTTTTCTTAAGGAAAAAGTAAAATTAGGCTCCTATTTTATAACATTCATAAAATTAATTCCACATGGATTGAAGAAGTAAATGTAAAAAATTCAAAAGTTTTAAACCTTTTATTTAAAAGAAAATATAGGATAATTTCTTTATAAATCCTCAGATGTGTATCTGTCTGAAAGATTGTGTGTTCTCATTTGGGTGGTAAATATATGTGTGTAATATTTTTTTCCTAGTGACTTTGACTGCTTAAATGTTTGACAACTTAAAACATTAAAAATGTGTAATGGGCTGGGCGTGGTGGCTCACACCTGTAATCCCAGCACTTTGGGAGGCCAACGCAGGCGAATCATGAAGTAAGGAGTTCGAGCCCAGCCTGGCCAACATGGTGAAACCCCATCTCTACTAAAAATACAAAAATTAGCCGGGTGTGGTGGCACATGCCTGTAATGCCAGCTACATGGGAGGCTGAGACAGGAGAATCGCTTGAATCGGGGTCGGAGGTTGTGGTGAGCCGAGATGGCACCGCTGCACTCTATCCTGGTGACAGAGTGAGAATCATCTTAAAAAAAAAAAAATTATTAAAAAAAAAATCCTCAGAGGCCGGGCGCGGTGGCTCAAGCCTGTAATCCCAGCACTTTGGGAGGCCGAGGCGGGTGGATCACGAGGTCAAGAGATGGAGACCATCCTGGTCAAGATGGTGAAACCCCGTCTCTACTAAAAATACAAAACATTAGCTGGGCATGGTGGCGCATGCCTGTAATCCCAGCTACTCAGGAGGCTGAGGCAGGAGAATTGCCTGAACCCAGGAGG